GACTGTGAAGTCTGGCAATCTAGATCGCATTAACCATGCGATACTATGCATATTGTGTAACAGTATGCGTGCGATGTGGAAAAGAATGCCTTTTCGTCGCTCCAAAAAAATGCACCAATTGACGGAAAAAAAAAGTGTAGCGGTCAGCGCTTGACCGTCCTATGCTCTCCATTGCGCACAAAACGCCAATAACCCATGCGCCGACCCATGCTAATGCTTGAAAAACTGTCAAGAGCGAATATGTGCGTTGGGAAAGGGAGCAAAAAAAAAGTGAAAAAGTGCTGACTCCCGCTCTCTCCGCTAATACGCGTAAAATCATACCACGGTACGGAAGAAAAAAAAACAGATGAAAGGTACCCGCCTCGGAAATGTCTCGTGGGCGCTCGGAACCAGTGCTGTCCAGTCGAATCCAATCCAGTCCAGTCCTATCCAACCCGAAGGCATTCTTGCTCGATATAAACTTGTAACACGAATTTCCTGTCGTACCCCCACTGTTGCGCGTGCGCGCACACCACTCAGCACTGTCTGTAGCGTCGGCGAGACCCGGCATTGTGGAACTGCCGAGTGGGGTGTGCCTTGGAAAATACCAAAGTTGGCAACGTGAAAGCATGTCCCCAGCTTTTTTGCGCGAAGCGAGTGTAGCGACCGGTAAACAAGTATTCACCGGATGGCGGGTGGGTATCGACCGTTGCGCAACAACGGATGGAAGCATGCGACTGTGACGTTTATCCGCGACGTGTGTCGTGTGTCGTGTCGTGTGTCGAGGTCACGCGTTCCCGATGAACCACCGAAACGTGCGTATCGCCGAGCGAGCTCGCGCGGCCAACCTTCCTGCGACAAACCTGCTCTTTGACTCTCCTGACCTGACGTTGTTCGCAAAGGATGCGGCAGCACGTGCAAAAACCCATGTCAATGTCTCCGCCAAATCCTCCACCCACTCCAACGGTGCAGCCGTGACGTGACCCTATACCAAGACCAGGAATTCTTGCTCGATGGCGCGGAATCGGAGGCTCCACTAGAACCCGGTCCGCTCGCGCACTATACCGCGGCAGGTGATGCGATCCTCGGAGAATCTGAACCCGGGATCGACTTCGCCAATGCGCCCACCAATGACCAAGGATCGAATTTCGTGCATTGCGATGCGCTACGTAGGTGGAGCGTTTCGCGACACGCACATGCATGCAGCTCGTCTCGCTTCGTGTCGTGTCGTGTCGTTGTCGTGTGAACGTATCGAGGGTACCGTACCAAGACCTGCGTGCATGCCCAACCTTGGAAGTTGTTGACGCAACCGAATGCCGCTGCTACGGCCTGATGGGAACTCTCTAACCATGGTGCATTCACACGGCAACAGGAGTCCATCTAAGCGGCACACCGCTTGGGCTGTGAACGGAAGGTGCCTTGCTAGACCCGGGCTTTCTTGGCGGTAACCAAATACGTGCCTTGCCGACGGCCTTTGTGTCGAGCTTGCCCACGCGGCGCATGTTCATTTCGAGCACAATGACACGCAGAAAGTCGCTGTTCTCGCGAGGCTCGCGCTGCCGGACGGTAGGTGCGTCGTTGGAAAGGACTCGTCCTGCTTCGGAAAAGGGATCCGTGGCGCGACTCCGGCGCGACTTTTGCGATCGACCTCGGCGTTCGTAAGTCTGCATTTGGATCATCGGCGCGTGGGGTTCGGCGTCGGCATCGAGAGTGAGAGAGTCGTGGAGGTGCATTGACAACTCAGTCGCTGAGATTGGCGCAGGCTGTGGGTTGAGGTATCGTCGTAGTTCTGGTGACGGTAGACCTTCGACGTGTTTTGGTCGCATCTCGCTTGTGTAGTTGGGTGCCAGCAACGACCGAGTAAGGAAATCATCTGGCGGAACACTGGGAGCTGTGAAGTTGGAAAACGATTTCGCAGCGGACTTGAGCGCTTGAAGTGATGCAGTCAAGTTCGACTTGAATGACCGGAACCGCTCGTTCGAAGACACCGGAGTGACGGGTTCGCTAATGCTTGTCGAGACGATGTCTTCGCATTCATCAGGACCAAAATGTAGCAGCGGGTGGTCCAGTATGCAATCTTCTTTAGGTGGTGATGAGACAACCTTCTCTCGGCGCTCAGGCAGTGACTTCCTGCCAAGCGAATCTGGCGTACTGAGGTTGTCCCAATGTGATGCGAACGACGGGTCCTCGAAATCCAAAGAAGGCGGCATAGTGGATATTGAGTCGCTCGAGATGGATCTTGAGGTCAGGAAAGAGCCCTTCTCGTGCTCCATGCTCAAGACGCTGTTATATTCATCGTCGGATTCGTCCACGCGACCAAGTAGCAGGTCCATGGGCGAGCCGACAAGTGAAGGCGGAGTGTCGGGATCGTCCTGCTTCCACTCCTGTATCAACTCGTCCATGGATATCCTCCTGTCGGTTGTAGTACGTGGTCGTCGGCGGGTGGGCATCTTGGGAATGGCGGTAACGGCTAGCAAGGCTGCAACGGCCGGTGGTAGGGCTTTGGCATCATGGCTCTGCGAGTTGCGTGCAGGTCTGCCTCCATTCTGTCCTCTCATTCTCACAGTCTGTGTCGAAGTTGCTGACTTGAGAGGTGTTCGAGGCGGGATGACGACAGGTTGGGTGGTAGCGGCTTCGATATTCGAGATCGACATATTCTTGTTCATAGATTGCGTGTTGGTTTCCACTGTGACAGGCATGACACTTCTCGGTGAAGGACTGGCTCGCGCTCGCGTGCCCATCTTCTCGGACTTTGATCTTGTACTGCGTGGTGGAGATGACTGGAGGTAAGGAAAGGACCTTGGCGAGTACATCATTATCGTTGGCTTGGGCCCTGAAGGCGTTTCCCCCGTGACTAACAGCTTGGGTCGATCCAGGTACGGCTGGTGCTGGCTAGGCTGGATGTGACGTGCGGCCGTCGGATTTCTTTACGTTATTGCTGGTTGGCGATTGGATGGTGCTGCAAGGGCAACATCAGACTACAGGGTATGCGTGTGCCGAAGATCGCCGACGCACTGTCGCACACGAGATGGAGAAAGAAAAGGAAGTGAGTATGTTTGAGGACGTTGGACAAGTAAGTACAATGGCAGTACCTCGGTGGTGATAGTGGTGATAAGGGAGGGATGACGACGTTGGGGTCTCAGGGTTATCGGGCAGCGATAAGTAAGTAATAAAGGACAGGCGTCGCGTGGGAGTGCACCATGCTCCCTATCAAACCTCGGGACACCAAAGCACAGAGCATCCATCCAGGCACTTTTCTCGGACCAGATTCTGGCGGCTGAGGATAAGACTGCGTGTCCTTCTGCCACCGCCACGCCTACGCTGCGCTGATCACGCTTCACACGAGGCAGGCAGACATTACCAGACATGCCGCCTCTTTCAGCCCCGGTCGGTCCCGCATGCACAGCACTCGACAAAGGTGATCGCCTACGGGCATCCCCTGATTGGCCTTAGCCGCCACCTCCGCCCTCAGCCCTGTCGCCCCACGCCGGCCTGCCTTCTGGAAGGTGGAAGGCGGAAGCTCTCTGAGACAATCCCATCACACGGAGTCGAGTCACCTCATACCACCATCTCCAAGTCATCGTCTTAGTATTCACTTTGACATGCGCATTCCGCACTAACCCCAATACCGTCACCATGACCCTTTGATCTGCCTAGATATCAAACCATGACTGTACGTGGCTTGCATCCCATGCATGCAGAGCGCGATGCGCGGTAAGACCGCGTTGCCTTCCGGTCATGGTTGGCTTGAGTGGGAATCGCTCCGGGCCTGTCAGATGTGCTATCCTTATCTCTTGCCAATATCTCGCTTCAACGCATGTAACTTCTGTCTTGCAGGTTCGCGCCGTCTCGCACGCTAGCACCGCATCGGTCCTGCGGGGTGCATGCCCGCCCATCCTGCTCCAGAGAAAAGATGGTGTCGTGTGGAGTGGAGAGGGAAACTTTATTCCCACTCGAGATACCGGCGCCTTTTGGCAATCGTCATAATACCGCCGACGCGACAGGCTTGCAACTTTCCATGGAGCAGAGGGCACGTGTTCGGTATGGGAATTAGTCCAAATCTAAAGAGTTGAGGCTCCCAACGGCCTTGCATAATAGGGCACAGTCATAGCAACTGCACCTGCTTCATCGAGCCTACGGGATCTCTTGTGCAAAACAGGAAGGAACGGAGTACATTTTGTCGCACGGTTACTCCCCTCGCAAAAGAGGAAGGAACGAAATCTGGTCTGTCGCACCGAAGAAGCTCTTTCTTGGCTCTCGGCATCCTACCCACTGCGTGCGCCTGCATTTGTTTCATGTTCATCATTATTCCTCGAGTCACAGTTACTTACACATGGTTGTTGGAGGTTCTGGATTCTGTTCAATCGTAATAGTACACGTCTCCTCGCCAACACACACACAGAGATCTGCCTTCCACTCATTTCAGGCGGGCCGTATGCACCATCTCTCGCTTCATCCTCGCACAAGAAAAAAATTTGACAACGCAAACAAATTATACAAGGGCAGGGAGCGCATGGCGCGCTATCCCAGATATACGCTTCCGAGGTTGCAATCCTACACCAACCAACGCCAATGATCCGCAACCCTACCGCTGAAAAGGAAGCAAGTGATACGAAGAAAATGCAATAAAGAGGGTGCCACCTGGGCAGGTACATATCCTCGCGTTACCGGAACAGGCGCAGCACCGTCGCCGGTGGCATTGCGGGAGAGGGAGTGACATGCAGCGACATCCCTACGTGGCGAATATCCCCGTCCCGCTTGTGCGTCTGTTTGGTAACGGCTGCGAGGATGAGTCGAAGTGAAAATTTTCAGGGTCCTTTTAACGCCGAATTGAGCCGCCAGAAATGCACACGATTACAAGGAAGAGGTAACTGCAAGGCTGAAGCATGAACGAGCTCAAGGTCAAAGCGGCCGTAGCGGTAATAAGCGTCGTGAATCGCATGAAAACGCATGCAGTCATGTCGACATGAGAGAGAGAAGGGTCCAAGTGGAGTTTGTCGCTACGACGGGAAAGAGTTTCCTCAGTACCTGTCGTCGCCGTCGGTCGTCCAGCCCGCTTCTGAGCCTTCGATAACCCGTACCATGCGACCGTCTTGCTCTGTCAGGAGCTCGCCCGTGTCGACGCTGCGTATGCCGCGGACTTTCTTGCCTTGTATGCGACCGGGGCTAGCTACACCATGGCCTCCGTCGGGTGTGTAGCGCTTCATCTGCCGCCTGTAGGCGTGGAAGTCTACTTCCTCCTCTGGCATCTCATCGGATTGTTCACTAAACGTTTCCCAGTTCTCTGAGCCGGACTGCATGGTCATGCCGGTAGCGGCAGTGCCAGTGGACGAGGTTTGCGATATTTGTCTACTGCTGGCGGAGGATAGTGATGGCGGTGCATATGTAGGTGTGTAGGCTCCGCGCATGGTACGGCCCAAGTACGATCGGTCATCGTAGGGGTCTTCTGGTGCCACTTGGCGCACGATGCTCTCGCTGCGCTCTCCACGGTTGAACTCGAAACGGTTCATTGGTGTCTCCACGGGTGAGGGCTCTGGCGGTACGAACAGATCCTTCATGCGTGGAGGAGGAGCCATGGGTGGCGCCATCTTCCGCATTGTTGCAGAGTCTTCCCGTGACAGCTGTGGCCGTTTCTCTGGTGACATCCTGCCGTTCATTGTGCCATTCATGCCAGTACGAGAAGGAATCTTGGAAGGACTCTTTTGCGCAGATGCCGCCGACACCGAAGCACCAAATTGCGATGGACCGACAGACTGAGCAAAGTTGTTACGCGACATGCTTGCAGCGGATACGCTTTGCCCGAAGTTTGACACAGGAGTTTTCGATCGGCTTGGCGGTGCACCACCACGAACTGTTCCGGCACGACTAGGTGCTTGTGAGGACCTCCCAACAGTTGCGGGTTTGGTAGGCATGCCGCTGTTGGAGGGTGTCTTTGCGCGAGGTGGTGGGGCTGCTTTTTGTGCAGCAGCGTAGAGTTCGTCGAGGTATCGTTGGCCGTGGACCAGGAAAGGGCGTCCGTATTCGTCTTCCCAGCTTTCAAGTGTGACTCTCAAGTCCTGTGATATGTTAGCCTAGTTCTCGTTGCTCATCCATGTAATCTTACAGTTTCAATCTTGGGCAGCTCCTTTGCGATGCGCTTTCGCATCTTCTCCTCGCGCAGGAGCTTGCCTGGGTCGCGCCTCTCGCCCTTGTTTCCACGCGCCATTAGACGGGTCGCATCCTGACTGGATTGCTGGAGCTCATCGCGCTCCTGGATCAGCTCGCGATGGCGGTCAATCTTCTGTAGTATTGGCAGTCGCTGCTCCTTGAGCGCTTCAAGACGTGCGATTTCAGATTCGTGTGCGGCGAGCAGGGCGTCACTACATACATCGGAGAAGGCAGGCGTGAAGTCAAGCATCTCTTCTTCTGAGAAGTAGAGCGCATCCCAGAGTTCTTGGAGCTGGACACGCGCCTCCTCCACAAACAAGTGTAGGTTCTGGCGCTTCAACTCATTCAGCCTGGCTAGCTCGTCCTCGTACTCGTTGATGGTGCGCAGGCCGCATCCGCGGTTGCTAGTGAGGAACTGCTTGCGCTCGCGCTCTTCAACACCCAGGCGATCCCAGAGTTCCTCAATGGTTGTACGCAGCTGCCCCAATCGTCGTTCGCGACCGCGCTTTTCCTCGATGAGTCGCTCCTTCTTCTCCTTAAGTTGCGCGAGATCGTCCTTGTGTAGGCCAAGTTGTTCAGGCGCGTCGCGATGACACTGTACGATTGCGCTGTCAGTTTGCGCTTGTGGCGTGCCGAGTTCAGCCCACAGCTGGATAATCTCCTGGCAGATGGTCTTGACTGTGTCTATGCGCCTGGTGTATTCCTCGTATACGCGCGTGAACTCGTTGTCTAGCTTAGAGACGTAGGAGGGCGAGATATCGAAGGAGGGCGAAACGGTAGCGTTGGGCGCGGTGGGCGGGAGTTTGATCTTGATGAAAGAGGGTTCTAGATGCGACGCATACGATTCGAGGGCTTCGGCGAGTTTCCTGACTTGCTCAAAGCGCTCCTTGTGCACCTTGCTGACTGAGCTGTATCGCTCCTTCAGGTCCTTGAGGCAGCGCGTCAGGGGGAAGGTGATGGCCTTGTCGTCGTGCTCCTCGTAGTTGGGGTTGGGCTTGTTGTCCTCCAGCGACGCCTCCATCTGCCTGATGGTCTTGAGCAGGCGATGCGCCTCTTCAGTCATCTCATGCTTCTCGTTGGTGACTTGTCGCAATTGGCTGTGGAGCGTCTCGGACAGGGCCGAGAACAACTATACAGAGTCAGCCATGGCGCGCATATACGAGATCCGACAGCGACTCACCTCTGCTTCGCGCGAATCGCGCTCATGGCTGGGGACACCAATATCATCGAACAAGCCGTGCAGCTGGCCGATGATGGTCGTGACCTGCTGGGCGAGGTAGCTCGTGTCCATGGTGGCTGCGTCCCGCCGGCGAGATGCGATGCTCAAACGCGCATGCAATGTATCCGCTTCCAGTGGGGCGTGTAAACTTTACTCGAGGTCTCAGATGCGGTGTGATAGTGACGTGGTAGTGGATAGGCGAGAGTAGTGGTGGGGAAGCGGCCAGCAGAGCAAGAGGAGAAGGGCGTGTAAACGAGGGTAATGGCTTGAAACAGCGCGCACTCTACTTGTATGCCAGAGGCAATGCAGTAAGCAATTCTTCGCAATGTGTATACACAAGACGAAAGTGATGCAATTGCTGGGGATGGGGCGCAGATCAGAGTGCAAGCGGGTGGTCATAGTGGTTTGCGCGACACTATTTTGGAACAGTGCGCCAAGCACGCCGTTGGCACGGCGACGTCCCGGGCGCGTCTGTATAGCGCGCCATCACGAGAACGCCTCGTTTCACACGATCGCCCTCCGCCACTCAGAGCCGCGGGGTAGGCGGCGACATGGCTCGAGGACATGGATCATACTGGCTTCTTGCATGTCAACATCCTCCATGTCTGCCACTACTTGCTGATTGTCCCCAGCTGATTGTACCCGTGCTATACGCTGACTAGACTACGCCTCTACTCGATGCCTCGTGCCTCGTGCCTGGTTGCCTGGTCGCCTCATCGCTTTTTAGACTTTGTCAAAAAGACCGTCACCTTGAACAAACATGTCCAGTGCACTGCGGGCTCCTCTCCGGCTTACTCCATCCAATATCACATCCGAATCCATCGTCAAGTATTCTGGTAGTGGGCCGAGCATTTCCCTGTTTGTTATCCGCTCCATGGCCCGGACCCAGAAAAGCATCCTGCATTAAGCTCAGCTTTGCCGGGAAGCGGCAGATGAGATTTCTTTTCCATAGCCGTTGCTGTGTCGACCTACTATAGGCGCGTGCAACCTAACGTAATCCGTGTACTCTACAGGCTTTTTGTACCGGTTTTTCTACATGGCTGCCAGCCGTCCAAGAAGCAAACATCTCGTGTTCACGGAGTCTGTTCCGTGCCGGCATACATGGTACCACGGTACTTTCACGTCAACGATCCAGAGATTCTGAACCTTCTGTGGACGTAAACATTGTTGATCTTCCATCGCAGAATCTACCTGCAGGGTGTAGTACTTCTTATCGCCATACATGTGGGTCGACTCCACGGTAGCGACATGCCCTGGGTGAACATTCTACCCTGTAGTCTACAACGGCACTAACGTAGTCGTCAGCATTAGCTTCAGAAGTCTGGTATTACGAACAATTCGACCAATGCGATTCATACATATTCGTCCAACTACTACGACTTACTCCGAACATCTAAACGTAGCCGTCCACCTCCCACCCCTGACATCCATCACCACTACACTTCCCTGCCCTTGCATCGTCTCTACAACAACATCCCCACTCAACCCGGCACTACCACTCATAACAACCCGTCCAGCACAATCAAGCACCGGCACATGCACCTCTCCCATTGTCCCCTGCGGCGCCTCAAACTCCAGCATCACAGTGTTATTCCCCCAAACCTGCGTCCTTGCGCCAAAGAAGCCCAAATTCGTGCTGAATCCTGCATCCGCAAATTTGAGATCACCCAGCGAAGGTGCAACACGCCACGTCGCTCCACCAGCTGTTAGCAATTGCACGCCAGCGACGTATTGTGTTAGGCTGGAAGTAGGACCTGTTGCCCATCCATGCGCGTGGCTGATTCGCGCGTCGTTGACGTAGGGCGCATAGTGTAGTTCTCCAGTCGTACTATATCCCTCGATAAAGGTAGAATTCGTCATACGCGGATCGTCGAGCATGAAACCCCATTGAAGACGCATTAATGCTAGTGCAGCTGTGGTGTTTTGCGCGAGGAAGTGGGATTGCAGTTCAAATCCTGAAATGAAGGGTGAAATGGCATCTGCGGCTTCTGGAGCAGGTGCACCGTAGGGTGTCCATCGGGCGACTAGGTTGGAGGAGATTTGCTCAGTTTGTGTGCTGTTTAGAGTGAGGTTTGCGACTACGGCCCAGGCGTTTCCGTCTTGTGGCATGAGAGTTGTGGTTTCATTGTCGCGGTACATGCCTTCTTCTGGCACCCACAAGAGCTCGTTGGCGGCTGTCTTGATGCGGTCTGCCGTCTCCTGCCACGAGGTGATATTCGCGGTGTCATTGAGAGCAGAGGCTAGGTAGATGCCTTGGTTGATGGTGTAGTAGAGGATGGCGTTTGCTTCGATGTTATGACCGCCCATACCGAAGCGAAGCCAGTCGTTAGGTGCGGTGACGTTCATCAGGCCGGTGTCGTCAATGTTCGCGAGCGAGAAAGACAGGGCGAATTTGTACTTGTCCCACAGGGATTTCAGGTATTCGACGTCTCCCTAGTGGCTTGATTAGCAAACGCTGGAGCTTGTAACCCAAGGCATCACGCTTGTTCCTAGTTTCTCCCTACGAACAGGACCCAAACAAGGAAAGGGCAGCCATAGTACTCACAGTATAAAGGTAGTGATCAGCGACACCAATTAGGGTGTACAGATGATAAGTGAAGGATATAGCTTGAGGAGGAAATGGCCGTCCAGCATACGGAAGCAGACCATTCGTCTCATTCTGAACAGCAAACAGCGAGTCCAATGCGTTCTCAATGGAGATGACATCGTTGGTGGATACGACAACACCGGGAACGGCTATAGCCATATCTGTAATTTCGTCAGCATCCACGCGGTCGCTATTGGGGAATCAACATACCACCAGCCCACACAAGTCTATCCCTCTTCGCGCCATCAACTAGCGCACTCTTACCAGCCGTAATGGTGTAGTTGTTATACCACGTTACATTAACCGGCGTCTGATCGTCGTCCTTCGAGTACCCCTCTTCACCGATATGCACCAACGCATCGCCAGTATCCGGTTCGATAGTGCAAATCTGGTTCGTGTAGGCACCAGCATACCACACACGGTTCAGCAAGTCGTCGTCGCAGTGGAAATATCCAGTATAATTCCCCAACGCATCGTCCTCCCAGTGAGGCATGGCCGTGTAATGTACTTCGGCTCCCGTCACCTCCAAACTCCCCGTGCCATTATGGACCAACGTCATGTACCTGAAAGCGCCTCTGCCCTTCTCCTTGGGCGCCGTGTAGCGTCCTGTGCCATTGACGTGGAACCAGAGTGTCTCGTCTTTTCCTGCATCGGCGGTCGCGTCGCTGCTTCTGTTGCTGATCCACAATGAGGACTCGGAGAAGGTGACGCCAATGTACTCTGAAGTCGAGTTTACGGACCCGATTGTCACGGTGACGAGACCTGCAATGTTGATACCAAAGTCGTACGCTGTTGCTGCTTCGCCTGTGAAAACTGAACTTCCATTTGCGCTGCTCGTAGTCAGGCTCTCGGGATTGGTGACGGAGCCGTTTGAGCTGTGGACGGAGACGGGCTGCAGGGTTCGTGATTTAGGTGCGAGGATGTATTGAGAGTAGGGCGTTGATGCGAGGGCAGCTGGTACGGCAGCTGTCAAGCTGACCAAGGTAGTAGTAGATACCTTCATCTTGTAGCAATATCCGGTAAACCTTGAATCCACAAAACGCGAATCCTACAAAACGTTGAACAAGCACTTATCCTTGAGGCTTATGTACCTTGACTGCCGCAGCTTCCCGGTCATCGCAAGCCATGGCCATTTCGCCCTTCGATTACCATGGCTACTTGCCGACTTGAAGATCTCAACTTTTTTCTCGGTTTCTTCGGAAGAGTACATACCGAGATGACGACGTCAAGAGACAAATCTCATCGTTGGCTGCGGAGACGACCCCGGTAGTATCCTTGCCCAGCCCTAGTAAACGCGGGGAAGCGAGTCTTTTTTGCCAGCGGATCTTGCTGCACATGGCTGACGCTAATGTACAATTGCCCGAAGTAGTCGCGGTACATGCTGAACCCTCGCCTCCACGTCCCGACGTCTTGGAAGCTCGGGGTCAGAAATGAGTAGGCTAGGGGGAATGCTATCACGAGTAGATCGTCTAGATCTTTGATTCCACTTCGTATCTCGTATAAGTGAGTTATACCCTGTTGCCAAGCGAATAGACATCACGTCAACTTCGTGCTGACAACTACACAAGCCTCGCCATCGCGCCTAAACTTCGGCTTGTTATTGTTAGCTGCATAACGCCAAGATGTCTTTACAGCCATACAGTCAAGAAGATGCTGTGACTACCCCGAAAGTATGATGGCACAAAGAGGGTCAAAATGCAGCAAGGCACTGCAATCTTCACGTCCTGACACAGTGATGATCATCTTACACAAAATTTAGTTGTATATCTCAAAAAAAAACCCATAACCATACATAACTCCAGCCCTCGACGAAACCAAACATTTACACACTTGGTAGTGCTCTGGTGGCGTCGAGCCTGCCGCAGCAGAATCAATACAACTTCCCGCCTACCTCTTCCCTTGCGGCAACATACCCACCAACCTCTCCACCTCGACCGCCGCACTCCCCCCAGCCTTATCCCTAATCTCACACAGCAACTCCCTATCCTTGGCCTTGAACGCCTCCTCCCCTGCCTTGACCATAAGCCCACACTTGATCCACATCTCCACCCTCTCCTGCACACTCAACCCCGTACACTTTGGAATAAACACACTCGCCACCCTCGTATTCCCCGCCCCAAGAATCTCGCTGAAAAACGGCTCCCACCCAATCGGGCTTTTCTTCTGCTTTGCAAATTCTTCGAGCTCGTTCCAGTGCCGGGCTGCGACGAGGGCGCGGAGACGGATGTATGTGTAGGTCTTGTCGTTGATTTTGAACTCGGAGACGACTTTTGAGGCGCGCTTGTAGTGGCCTTGGCGGACAAGTTGGAATATCGTTTCGTTTGCCGAAAGCCCAATGTAGGTCTGACCTGGTAACGGACCTGGCGATGCTGGGTCTCGTGGGCCGTTGAGATCGGTTTCGAATTGTGTTTGGAGGCGGAGTAGTTTGGCGGCATCGTCGATGGCTTGGCGTTGGAAGACGGCTGTACTATCGCGAGAGTCTTGG